GCGCTCATGAATATCGAATTACGGGAGCTAGATCGCGGAAGATCTTCGTTACCTCGTTCCACGTACCAGAACCGAAGGGTTTTTCTTCGTTTCGGTCGCTTCGCGCGCATGTGGCTCTGTCCGGTTTGGTCGAGTCATTCATTCGAATAGTTAGTCTCCTCTATGAAGTCCAGTACCGTTTTCTCACTTCTTATGGACCTTAGAATTGGATCATTTCGCTAACCGAACAAGTCTCTCTCGGTCGTTCCCCGTTTTCAATTCAGCTCCGATCATAGGATTTTTGCGAGACCCCACGGTTCTAGTTTTATAGGAATACTATTAGCGTCGTTCCTAAGAATTCCATTGAAGCTCTACCGATAAAAAGAAAGAGAGAAAAAGAGATAGATAACGCTGACGTATTCATGCCATGCTCTCGCAGCTGCATTATAATTAATTTCGCAATTGCTTTCGAAGAAATATTAACCGTCGACAAGCAAATAAACTTTACTTCGTTTACTTCACAAAAGTCGCAAGGATTGATCTTTGTACTTTAATTAATTTTTACTCTACTGACATGTGAGTTTAAATAGAAACTAGAAATACTTTAGAAATTATTTTTAAAGTGACTCGCACTTTTCTTCGAAATATTTTCATTCTGCGTAACTCAATATAAATAAATATAACTCATTTTACATCCCGTGAAATTCAGTCTATCCATGTCAATTCGTCCGCGAGGTTTCCTATCGTGAGCTCGCAAAGTTCAACCTCGACTCGCTCGGAGTAGTGAATGGAAGGATTCGTCGCGGGATTGGCAGAACGCGGAGACGAGAGCGGCTGGAGAGAGATGATATTCCGAAGTTGAGGAGAATTCTGCGGCGACGGTGTGCAATATGTGAGATATCCCTTTGGCTTGTGCGCCGTGTTAGATTGTGTACGCGATCCCGTCGTTCATTCACCTGTTACGTCTCTCTCCCGCCGTTCCTTTCCTCCTTCGTTCCATCCTGCTCGTTCACTCGCCCGTTCGTTCGCTCGCTCTCGCTGCCTGCCTTTCTCCCTCATTCTTCGACGTGATTCTACCATGCTATTACTTGTACCATAGATCACGCTCGGTGGTCCGCGAGGTCGCGGAAAAGAGAGACAGAGATGAACGGAGGTCGAGGAAAGAGGTCTCGCGAGCTTGCAACGAAGCTAACGTTCTATCTCTTCTATGTCGATCGCGTCACTAATGCATGATTATTTTTGCGAATATCGCAAAACGAATTGTTTTTTATGCCTTGTACTTTATTTTACATTAGTTATATTTGAAAAATTATGCAAGATTAGATCTTAATCTTAATTAGTATTCACGGGTATTAGTATTCCAGTGGACTTGACATTTTTTAGATTATCATATGTTGTGAAAAAATGTTTATGCCAAATGTTTTTCACAACTTTACATAAGTTTAAGTTACACAATCTTATTTCTTGAACTTTTACCTTCAAAATGAAACAAATCGTTCAATTATACGTTAACTTTAAGCAACGGTATTTAAAGTACACTAAATTTAAAACTTAATTTAAAGAATACACTCGCAAATACAAGGAAAGAACGATGAAGTATTTAAAAATTTAGCTAAATACGGATCTGAAAATAATTTTATTAGACTATCAAAATAATTATATGAACACTCGATGTAGAACGCTCAAACTGATCGTTAGAATGTCAAAACTTTTTGCAAAATTGCTCATCATGCTCAAGTTTCCTCAATAAAATTATTTTCAGATCTGTATCTATTTAAATTTTTGAACATGTATTTCGTTCTTTTCGTACCAATTAAGGAAATTTTGGAACGAATATCATTTAGGATTAATATATCTATAAATTTGCAGGTTAATTGTGTAATAATCAAACTGGATTTATACGTACTGAGTTATATCCAATCTAAATTAACGTATTTAACTTGTATCACTTTATGTATATAAATGTAAATGTATGGAAGCTTGAATGATATCTGTAGCGAATGGATATTCGATATTGCAACAAACAATTAATAATGTCAAGGATACTTGTTACGTATTACGTCAATTTACTTGTGATTATTCCGCCAATGATTTTACCTGTTGCCGGGCATTGCAGTCCGCGTAACTCGAAGCGAAACTCGTGGCTTTGTCGTTCATTGACATCTTATTTATGAGCGGCGATCCTGGTCGAGTAAGCTTAGCCGTTCTTCGGTAGGCATGAAAGAGCGAGCGGTACGTACGGCTGGATCTAGAGGAAGCCTCGCGGCTCTCCAAGCGCTTCGCTCCGATCGCAGAGATGGAAAAATCTGGAGAATGTCGAAGCCGTCGACCAGTTTCAAGAACTCACTGCCGTCGAAGAAAGAGAGAAAGAGAGATAGAGAAAGATTATGTGTCTGTGTGTATATGTACACGCGCAAGTTGATTCTAGCGCGGAGCCACTTTGTCTCCTTTGGTTTCGTTCTTATCATGTTAAGTTCTTTTCTCTTTCTCTCCCTTCTCTGTCTCTTTCCTTCACTTTTTCCCTAATCTATCGGCGATGGAACGGCCCCTATTTTTACGTCTATTAA